CTAGACTTTTAACTGGTATTGAAGTGGGGGCAATCTTGTGTAACTGAGCCCTTAACCTGGGGGATCTGATGTTATCTCCAGGTACCTAGTATCAGAATTAAGTTAACTTTGTCAGACATCCAGTTGATGTCCATTGAGAACTGGGGCAATGCTTGGTGTAGGAAAACCACACACACACCTGGTGTCAGCTGTATTGAAGAGCAGAGGAAGAAAAAATAACGCAAAAAATATAATCAGCAGAAATACAGCTGATTGAACACAAGAAAGTAATAGGAGAAAAATGGGAAAATCATATCAGAAATGAAGACAAAATTATTTCTATGGTGCCCAAAGAATAAGTTCACACAAAAACATAAGGGCATTGAAATTAGCCAAGAAATAACCAAGCAAATGAAAATGAGAAAAAGAAAGATCAGGAATGTTTGATATAGAAGACAAGTAAAAGAGATCAAATTATTTATAATTAGAGTTATTTCTAGAAGATAAAACAATGGATCAGAATAATTAAAATTATAATCCAAAAAACTTTCTGGAAATAAAGAAGACTTGAATCTACATATTTAAAGAACCCCCCGGAACTCTTTAACATACAGAAGAGAAAACTGAACTGCAGCAATCAGGGTCTCTAGGAAAAAAAAGATCAAATAACTTAAGAGGACAAGAGATTAGACTGGCATCAGAATTCTCAAAAACAATGTAGAAAGCAAGGCAAAATGAGACAGCAATTTCAAAAAAACTCCCCCAAACATGTAAATCAAGGAGTTTGTATTCAGCTAGGCTATCTTTCAAGTATCTAGGCTATAGAGAAATAGTTTTAAACACGAAAGATCTCCTAAGATGTTGTACTCATCAGCCCTTGAGAAATCTACTAAAAGATAAACTTCATCAAAGCAAGAGATGGCAGAGAAATTTCAGCAAAATGATTGATGATGAGTATTTAGTATGCTGAGTTTTGTGTCCAAGACTTAAAGAAAGTAGGAAACAAAAGTGGAAGAGTAACATATCATGATATGTGCTATGTTATACTATATATTCTCAAAAAGTACATATAAAACACTCAAAATTTGATGGAAATGGGAGAGAATAAAAAAGGAAAGTACAATAAGCTCAGTGGTTGCTGCATATGTAACAGCTAGGGATGAAATAACACTAAAAACTCATAAACCACATAATAAATGGTTGAATTAAAAAATCCCTTCTTAAAGACAAGGGAATAAAGGCATTAAAAAAAGTTTTAAGACCAAAGGCAACCATTAAAACAAATAAAAACTCACCTATGAGCCAGAAAGACAATAACAAAAATATCACATACAGAAACAACAAATACAACATAATACGTATAATAATCATAACATAAAATGACAGACTTGATAGCAAACTTATTTTTATCAAGAAATATGAATAGGTTAAACTTGTCTATTACAATATAAAAATTTTTGATTCAGTTAACCAAGTAAGACCCAAATATATACTCTATACAAGACGTACAACAAAAACAAAATGGTTTAAAAAAGCTAAAAATAAAGGTATGGGAGAGGTATACTTGGAAAGTGGAAACAATATGACATAAAGGGCAATGGTACTGAAAAGAGACAAAGCAAAATTAAACTAAAAGGCTTTAACTGTGATAGAGAAGGACTTTCTTTGATGCTATGAGTCTCAGTTCACTGTATGGCTATTACAAATAGCTATACACCAAATAACACACCATCTAATTTACAAAATAAAAACTGTAAGAGATGCAGGGAGACATACATAGAAATGCAGTGGTAATAAGAGATTTTAACATCCCACTCTCAGTACAAAACAGATTAGTTGGACCCAAAATAAAGAAGGATACAGAAGATCTGAATAACAACCAATTAGTAGAGCTTATGGTTATATATTGTACTTACAGTGTGATAATAAAGAATATACCTTCATACCAATAACATATGGAACATTCACAAAAACTAATCATTTATTAGGTCCCCCTTAAAAGTCAGAATGTTCCATAAAATACAATGACTGAAAATAATATTCTCTAATCACAATGCAATTAAACTAGAAATTATTAACAAATGTTTAAAAATAAGAAGGAACTTTCACCTGGAATAAATAAATTCTTATTAAGCAACTCTTGGGAGAAAAGGGAAATAGAGAAGTCACAAAATTTTTAAAAATTATAATGAAAATATTAAATATAGGATTTATGGGCTATAACTGAAATAGTAACCAGAAGAAAATTCATAGCCTTAAACACTTAGACAAAATTAAAGAATAAAAATAAATTCCTAGCTCAAAAGTTGAAAAAAGAACCAAGTAAGTCACAAGAAAGGACCAAGGGTAAACAAAGATAAAAGCAGCAATTAATGAGGTAGTGAATAGAAAACAGTAGTTCTACTCAATAAAGCAAAATCTGGCTTGCTGAAGAAAAAAATAACAAAATAAACATGCCATTAGATGATGTAATCAAAGAGAAAATCACAAATACACAAAATCAGAAATGACCAGGGTGAAAAAACTGTTGAAAGACAAGAAATTAAAAAGTAATGACACTACAGGACATTCGTACAAATGAATTTCAAAACCTGTAAGCAATGGATAACTTCCAAAAGTGATCCCATCAGTGACAAAAAAGTTTATTTATTTATTTATTTTTTATTTTGGTATCATTAATGTACAATTATATGAGCAACATTATGTTTACTAGACTCCCCCTATTTTCAAGTTCCCACCACATACCCCATTACAGTAACTGTCCATCAGCGTAGTAAGATGCTATAGAATCACCACTTGTCTTCTCTATGTTATACTGCCTTCCCCGTGTCCCCACCCTCTGCTGCTACATTATGTGTGCTAATCGTAATGCCCCATTTCCATTTAAGAAATAAAGTAAGTTAGCAAGAAAGTACTCCACAAAAAGAACCATGGTTGGATGGTTTCACAGGGGAATTCTACCAAGGTTTCAAAGACCAAATAGCCTCAATGCTGCATAACTGTTTCAGAGCATTGAAAATGTAGGAAAAATCTTAATTCTTTTTTTATGAAGCAAGTAAAACATTGTATAAAAACCAAGGAGAAGAAAAAGAAAACTAGACTAAAAGCACCTCTGATGCAAAACCTCTGAACCTCTGAATAAAATATTAGCAGACAGAATCCAATACCACAGTTAAGAAAATAATACACAAAGAACAAGAGGGATTTAGTCCAGAAAGGCAAGGTTGGTTCAATACATTAATACATTATATTAATAGCTCTGAGAAGAAACATCACGATCACCTCCCCAGATACTGAAATTGACGTTAGCATGATGAATAAACATAACATATATACTTTGTCTTAAAGCTAGCACCTTACTTTTAACAGGGAAACACTAGAGGCATTTTCACTAATACAAGAATTAGACATTCTCTGTAACACTATTTAACATTGTAATAGATGTGTCTACCAATGCAATTAGATAAATCAAGTAGAGGCATCAAAACTGGAATTGAAGATGTAAAACAATCTTTATAGATGATATGATTACATACCTGAAAACCCTAAAGAATCAATGACCTTTAGATGGCAGAGAAACAGGCACTCTCAAACACTGCTGCTTGAAATGGAAATTGGTATAATCCTCATAGATGGGAATTTGGTAATATCTAAGAAAATTATGTTTACCTTTTGACCCAGCAATCCCACTACTCTGAAGTTAATTCTCTAACAATGTGAACATACATACATACATACATACATACACACATACAGGGTGTGTGACATTGTGACATTGTTTATTTACAAAATAGTTGAAACAAGCTAAATGCCCATACATAGGAAAGTAGTTGAGTAAACTATAGTATACCCACATGATGAGTATTAATTATGTAGAATGAGAAAGATCTCTATGAACTGATAAAGACAGTGATTTCCAGGGTATATTTTAAGTGAAAAAAGCAAACTTGACAAGAGTATCCAGAGTATTCCACTTTCTATGTAAGAAATGAAATATACATGTGTCTACTTAACTGAGGATAATTGGTTACCTACTGTGTATGGGACCCTACAGAATGGGTTGGAAAGAATAGAGGAAATGTAGAGGGGAAATCAACACCTTGCTGAGTATATCATTATGTACATCGTGGCTTTTGGAGTCATGATAATGTTTTGTCTGCTTAGAAAAACACAAAATCAACAAGGATGGGAGAAAACACTAAAGTTGAATATAAACAGAAACATGAATCAAACCATGTTTCAAATTAATAATATAAACACACTAATGGAGGAGAACAGAACTAACCTAAATAACTTCAATTCACAGTATTTGGACTAGGAAAAAAAGCTCTAAACAAATATTGGGCTCTAGTAAAATGCTTTTTTGCAGAGGCATAGCTTTGCAAATCTGAAACTACTTTGTGAATTTTACAGGGCTTGGCAAATAAGTAAACATATTGTAGGTAACAGGAATTAGAAGTTATAAATTTGGAAAACGAGCAAAAAATATAATGGACTGTATGCAGTGTGCGGTTGGAACTAAGGGGTAGGGATAGAGATACACACACCCATGTATAACTCACACACAGATGCACATGTACACATACATACATTTCATATATGTACATTCACAAACATACATATACTCATACAGATTTTATCATTTTTTAACAATCTTAGCCTTAACATTCATATTAGACCTGAAGAAATGGCATTTCCCAATTTTTAAAATGTAAATTTAAAAGATACTGGCTATGCAATCTATAGGATAGGAAGGTATTTCTACAGGAAGAACTGCCAGGAAAACAGGCCTTGAAACTGAGCAGCAAACCTAATCTTTAAATAGCAAAGAATTTACTCTGATATGTGGCTCCATCATAAAAACATAAAAAAAAAAATTATTCCCAGTAGCAAATATCCAAATGTGCACAGATCAGATTATTTTCATGTTAATAAGACAAACACATTATCTTTCATATAAGTTGTAAAAATGCAAATGCTTCTTGGTATTTCATAATGAAACTTATCAAAAACCACTGTACCTTACAGTAAAATCATAGGAACAAGAGGCTAGCACGGAAGCATGAAATGGTGAAAACTACAAAACAAAAGCAAAAAGATTTTAGAATTACTTGTAATTATACCATGCTACTTCATATTGTCATTCCCATACATTATAATAAATTAAAGTTTAGTCAGGACTGCCACTTAAAATTATGCTTTCCTGAACCTTATATGCTTTGATTCAAAGCAAAAATCTTTTGGCCCTTTAGGTATCATCTACAGGAAATATTTATTTTTAGTTTTCCAAAAAGAAGTTGTTCCTCAAGTTTTTTAGTGCTTACTTATAAAATATCCCCAAAGTATTGATATTCTGGGAAAGTTAAATACAATGGCTAACCACAAACGACTTCTACAAATGTAAGAGATTTAAGTATGTGGTAATACAAATATATAATCATTTAACTTATCAATTTTATGAATATGTATTATGACCGTTATATGTACAAGTATCAAATAAGCATTTAAATGTTAAATAAAATCACCTTCAAAAGAAATATTGTTATTTGTATACTACAGCTAATGAAGAATGATATCAAGGACAAAAACTGCAAATTTAAAGACAAATAGTATCTTTCAGATAAGTGATAAACACATTTTAATAGGCTACCCTTTGCAATTATAATTTTTCAGTGTTTTTCTTACCAGTACTTAATAGTTACATATACATATTTATCTACACTTGAACATACTTCATTAGTTTGTAAAAATGCTTTCACTACATTATCCAATTTCACTTTCAGAAGTACTGTGAAATATATATAGAAAATATTTTTTGACTACCAAACCTATGTGCTATTAAAAAAACAAGATGCTGTGTCTCATACGTTGAGTTGCAGCCAGTAAAATTTAAATATTAATTTAACTGAAATTTAGAGTTTTGAAATAGGAATAACATAATTATCTTATTGAAAAGATCAGTAAGGTACTTTTCTACCTTTAATGTAATAAAACAAAGAATGAGGTGTCACTAGGAGGTGTCACTTAATGTCCTTCTTAGTGATCAAGCAAAACCTACCTAAATAAAAGCTAGGAAACTAACTTAAGGCACCTTATAACTACACAAATTTCTTAGGAGCAGCAGAGAAAAGTTATCTTTATCTCGTCTTCTACTGTTTGTGAAGTGGAAAATTTTCTATACCCAAATGTTTGTGAACATTCATATGTATTATCATGATAGGGGGGAAAAAAAGAATTAACCATCTCTGTATACGAGTTTAAATAAAACAGAGGCCTGCACAATGAATGGACAAGAATGAAGACTATAATATGAAAACTGTATTACTATAGTTTAAAAATATTAAAGGCATAGTAGATTGGGGATGACAGAATGATAAAACATTTTATTTAACCTTAAGCACTAATTACATATGTTACCCCAATTCATTCAATAATTTTTCAAATGTTTTTCCTAATTTGAATTTTCAATATTTATTATAATTGGGTTAACAAAAATATGTATAAGAATCAATAACCTCAACGCCTAACCATCTTTAATATGTATTTAATTGATTATATTCTACATATAAAAAGAAAAGATAAAAACTTACTTTCACTCTCCTAATAGCATAGGTATGACCAAGAAGCTCAAACACCGGCTGTCGTACATTCCTCAAGTCCCAGCCTCTCAAACTACAATCAACTGCCCCTGTCACCAGCAAATTCTGAAAACAATTCAGAGAAAAATAAATAGTGATTTCTTTGTAATTAAGCAGTACCCTCGGTTTTCTACTCAAAACAATATCTATTTTCTGGTAATTATTTAATCTGAACCTAGGAGTCATTCTTGATAAGTTTTATGACTAGTATAAAAGAAATCAAAATATACATCAAAAAGCAAAAATTAATATGACTTGAGAGAAAAGGAACTCAATATGCTTTACATATTTGATGAAATACACTACACTCAACAGAAAAAGGCATAGTCCCAACTAGCACTGTGGATTCTCCAATACACTTCTAGTAATATAAATAAGTACTTAAGGTCTTAAAAATTGTGTCTGACAAAGAAGCCCACCTTTCTCTTCAATATGCTCTGAGGTTTTACCAGGCATTAAAAGGCAAGAGGCCTGTTATTTTAGGAGTATATGGAAGAGCAAAGTGCATAAACTAAATTTTTATGTTTTTCTAAATCTAAAACATTGTTCCCAACTCTCATGCAAATAGTGATAAGTCTCCTATCTAATCAGGTTTTAAATATTCTGCTATCTAGAATCCTCAGTTAACCCAGAGTTCCTGGCTGAACAGGCCAAGAGTTGGGTACACATTTACCCCTATTTCATGTCAACCAAAATAGTAATTCATTGCCTGAATGTGTTGGGCTTTAGCATAAGCTCATTTGAGAAAAAGTTTCAATAATTCAAAAAAAAATTTAACTACTCTCAAGTGTACAACAGTACATTTTTTACAATTCTCCAAATTATACCATATAGTCCACAATTTCATTTCCCCTTATGGAAAATTCACTTATGAGAGAGATGTGAACTGTAGTTACTAGCACTGAAATTTTTATGTAGGCCAAGTGTTATTATTGATTATGTACTTCATCTCCTTTTAATCTATTTATTTCATTTTATTTAAAGAACTCTACCAATATAATATTCTGTTAACTTTTGACTAATTAATCAAAAACTGGGAAAAAACAAGGCATACATCTTAGACCACTTCAGGTACATAAACAGCATATCAATACATGTTAGACCTATTTCTATTTCTAATTCATACACTCATGTGGTTAAATGAAGCTTTGCAAAATGCAACCAATGGACACTGCTATCTTACAGAAGCATGAAGCTTGGTTAGGCTTATATAGAAAATTGTAAAAACTGATGTCAAACTAAAAATCAAGTTTCAGCAGCCTGACCAGCCAAATGAACAAGAACTGAAAGCAAAAGGTAACATAACTTGTGGGGGGTGAAGAGCAATAAAGAAAAAAATTATATAAATTGCAAAGCAGTTTCCCAAACAAATAAGCAAGGCTGCACTGCTGAACTTTGAGAATTTTTGTTTCTTATTCTGCCTGTTTTATGTGCACTTGAATCCAATTACTGCTAATGTAGGTCACTGACAATCATCAAGTAAAAATGAAAGGGACTGACTTTAACTTAATGGTCCATAAACACTACCAAAACCCACATAATCAAAGATAAAATAAAATCAAGAACATTTCAACATTAGGAAGGGCTCAGCAGCTCAGGATAAAGCCAGGACAGGGTACCTCATTGTATTTACACCAGTCACAGCTCAAAATTTCTGCCTGATGTGCTGGAATCACAGTTCTGACTCCTGTTGACTTCACATCCCAAATTCTTAGAGTCTGATCACCTGGAGAAAGAGGAAGACTTGATCACTTTCCATCACACCACTTGGATGCTCAGTGACGTATTGCACTCATGATAATAAATCAAGGGAAAGCACACTGCTTTCAGTGTTAGGATACTGCCACCTATATATCATATAAACATATATACATATTGTTTTTAAGTATAATAATGCATAAGCATTACTAAAAATGAATGACTACTATAAGTATATGTACCATGATAATGTTTTTAGATGAACTCAAAGCAGGAAAATATGAATCTCATACTGTGGTGACTAAACACACACACAGTGCATTTTTGAGGATAGGAAATAGGCCCTGAAAATCCTTGTTTCTAGTAAATAAAGTTAGCACCCTCTATCAGCATATTCTACAAGAAACAAAATGCTACCAGTTTTACTGTGAAATGTGGGTGGTCTACCAAGCCAAAATGGAGAATTATTAAATCTCAGCTTTTATGTTTACTACATTTTGATGGACCAGCCAAAGGCATATTTTTCTCCTTGGAAAAAACAAGCTGAAAAAATGTAAGGATTATATATTGCATTATAATAAAAATGGTTTACATTGCTTAGCTGCACAAAGTCACTCTGATTATACACTTTATATGCTGTTTCCTTCAGTTTGTGTAAACTATAAGGAAACAACAAAATGACCAGACAAATAAAACTCAGGATATACATGGATCTATACATGTATATTTACATCAAAAGTAAATTATATATAATAACTGATCATAGGAGAAAGATAGTTCAGCTTGATGAAAAGAATATGGTCTATGACCCAATTGCAGTCAAGGTCTTCAATTGCACTTAGTAGTTGTGTGGCCCTGCACAACTTACATAATGTCTCTGAGTCTGATTCCTCATTTCTAAACAAGAAACAGAATGTCTATATGCAGGCATGTACAACAATTTAGTGAGACAAAGTTTCTGTGGAACATCAAGCATAGTCTCTAGCACATAGAAGATACTTAAATAGCACACAAAAATGCTAAAACTTTAAATTCCTTTGTTTACTTACATACATTTTCCTGTATTTCCAATTCTAAATCATATGACATTTAGGTAATTTTAGCAATTTTAGACAACTTTTTTCTGATTTCTTTGGATGCTGATTAAGAAAGGTAAGAATTAAAATGTTAGTGACAATGAAGTGTAGAGGTTAAAAATAGGGACTTGGAGTTCCAGAACTTGGTTCCAATCCAGCTCAATCATTTGGTAACTGTTGATATTTAATCGTTACTTACCCCCCCATAAAAATTTTCCTTACCTATGAAAAAATATCTGCTTTATAAAGTTGAAATAGGTTGTACAAAATAAGAAAACATACCCATAATTTGAAGTCATTCCTGCCCCTATTAATAATAACATGAACAACAGCTAATTTATTAAGTGCCAGATGCTAGTCTAAACATTTTATATGTATTAACTTTTATAAAACATCCCAATGAGGTAGAAATTTTGATAATATAAGTAGTTTTTGTAGTAATTTACAAATGAGGAAACAGAAGCACATGAAGATGAAATAACTCTCTCAAGATAGCCAAGTGGTGGAATCAGGATCTGGAGCAGGACCCAGGCAGTCTGGCCCCCAGACTACATGCTCTACTATTACACTCTGCTGCCTCCTAGTGTTGCTGGAGGAGAAGTGCCAGATAATCAATGTTGGTTGAAGTTTGAGAAATTTTTCTTTTATGTTAATTTTTTTTATAAATAGGGGAAAAAACATTTAATCACACATACATACATATAAGACATTCTGTCATATTTGCCCCACAATCATTTTAGAAATAAAGCACAATAGATATAGTTGAAGCCTTCATTATATTTCCAACCCCATTCCCTATTGTCCTCACCCAGAGGTCCCCAAATCATGAATTTGGCATTCTTTTCATCGTGTTTCTGCAATACTTTTACTACATTTTTATAGATCCATAAATACATATTATTGCTTCATGTGCAGAATTAAAAATATATATATTTTTTAAACTTAAAGACACCTCCTTCCTAAAAACCACTAATGATAGAAAAGGGTAACTAACACTTTGGGAGCTACCTAAGGATGGTAGGGATGAAAGTGAATGATGAGCTTGTAAGTGCCAAATGGAAATTGTTCAGAATTGGTACAGACTAGAGCTTCAGGTATCTTCAGGGGCCTAATTATAATCACTGTCTGGGGTTTAGCCACCAGCCAGTATAATTTGCTTCAAAATTATAAATAGCTTTGATAGTAAAAGTATCTTTCATGACTTTCCCTATTCTTCAAAGTATAAAGTGGGGTGGTGTATATGTTTAGTGTTGGTCTGCCCAGAAACACCCTCCTTATAGGAATATCCTCTTCTCACCATGTGATTCTGGAAAGACCTATGGCTCAACACAGTTGACCAGCCTGGGACAGGTCCAACCAAGGCCAGTCGTACTATGTCATCCCCTGCCTTGTCCACAGCTGACAGGTCAAAGGTAGGTACTTGGGATTTTCTAGAAATACAGCTAAAAAAATAACATCAGTCCCTCTTACCACAGGATTTATAGGTTATAAAGTTGAAAAGCCACTGGCAGCCACATGTATTATTGCAGGGAGAAAACCAGCCTGCACTCAAGTTAACAAGCAAAGAAAAGTCCAGACTGGAGACACAGAATGTGTCCTGGGGCCATTTAAGCATCATCCCTTCCCTTCCTGGGGTTGCTTTTCAATAAATTTTAGAAGACCTGTGGTAAGATAGTTTAAGGTCTATCTCCTGTAGGCAAATTATATCCCTTATCATCATGGAGGGAGTGAATGGAATTCACCTGAAGCTTCAGTGTCTAAAATGCCCAGCCCCAAGAAAAACATTTGATTCAGCACAATACTTCCATTAAAACATAGGAAATATCTAAATGATGTGTACTAGCTTTCAAAAATGTATACTTAATATCAGGCCTGAAACTATATAGTCTGTTATGACCATGACTAAAGAAAGCCCTGTTTAAAGTTCAAGAACTTGTGTTGATCCTAACAGTTACATTTTTGGGTATGTGAATGGTTTAAAGTAGCAAACATTACAATGAATGTGGACTAGGAGATAAGAAGTAACTATTATTCTAGCAACAGTTTAGATGAGTCTCACAAACCCATGTTGAGCAAAGAAACCAGACATAAAAACATAAAAACAGGCAACATTAATCTGTGCTTTTAGAAGGCAGGACAGTGGTTACCCTGAAGTGGGGGATGAGGAGGTAATGACTGGAAGGATGTGAGGGAGACTATGGGAACATTCTGTTTCTTGATCTGGGTGCTGGTACACAGATGTGTTCATTGTGAAAATTCACTGCATTGTATACCTAAGACTATGCACTGTTCTGTATGTGTGTTACTTCCAGAAAAGATTTAACAAAACAACAAAGGCTGGGTGGATGGCTCTTCCCAATTTCCTGGGATAAAATTTTGGTTCCTCACTATCATATTCCAGCATTAATTTTAAAAAAAAAACATGGCTTAGGTCATCCCCTCTTGCATTTAATTTAAAGAGCACAAGAAAGTGAGAACTGTTCTGGTGGAGCTAAAAATTCCACTTCCTCGACAGCTGCTTCTGCTGTACACACTTGGCACTTCATCCTCGTCACTTTGTTTCCAGGTAGGGGAGAGACCTTCTGGCCAAATGGAACCATGACTCATCAACTCTTTTGGCCACCAGGACATGTGCATTTATGTTATGTTGTTTTTTTCAACTGCATTTTCCAGACAGCTGGCCTTTCACTGTCAGTCAGCCATTTATTGGAGCCCTGTGATGGGCACCATGGACCCACCTGAATCACCAGCTTTTCTTATCAGCTGCAGACCTGCCACTGGAAGCAGAACCAGTGAATTTAAGTGCATAACATGGAATAGAAGGGCCGGCTGCTACTACGTCTAATTTCAAATTGCAGCAGGTAAGAGGAAACGGGTAAAGAAAATGAATATAAACACTGAGTCTGAAACTAGGAAGTGAATCGAGTAGCAAAAGGATGCATATTGATCTCAAATAACTGAACTGAAATGCCAGATGTAATACGACTGTTTTTCTTAGAGCAGACTGAGGTTTCTTTTAACTACTGAATCCCACACTTTCAGGCAACGGTCAGACTTATGCAGTTGTATGGCATCTGTATTAGCAGGACTGTAATTTAGTTTTCACTGTTCAAAAGAATACTTCACATCAATTCTCTTCATGTAAAGAGTACAAATATTCTTCCTTTCTACTTCATATAATTTATAAATATGAATTCTGTACTAGTACAACTTTCATGAGCTAGACAAAACACAATGTCCTTAGAGGACTCTGCTATGAAAGGTAATCTAGATCTAAATCTCTAAAAACTTTCCCCTTTTCAGTCTGTCTTAAATTAGTTCATGGTAACAAATTTAGTTCTAGATTTACAAATACCATACAACTTTGAAGGTGACTAAATTCTTGGAATAACTTAACTGTTATAGTCACATATATTATCTTAAAATATGTACCATTATAAGCAGTTCAATGACATAATTGTATGTGCACCGCAGGATTTAGTTAGACATAAAATTGTATCTTGATTGCCTATCATATAAGCTTCTACCTCTTATAACATCTGTAAAAACATGTATTTTACAACTTTGGGTTTCAAAACTATGAATTTTATACTTGAGGTGATTTCTATGCAAAGATTATAGAATGTTTTACAGCAAGCTCTTGTCCACAAGATAGATGACAAAGAGAATTTAACTGATAAAGACCATAATCTAACTCAAACTTTAACAAAACTGAGAGAAAAACTAAGGAGTTCTCAAACTAAAGAAACTACTTCCTCTCTGAATTCAGCACTGAAATAATTCTGTGGGTTTTTTTAAAAGAGGTAAGCATATTTCTATAAAAACAAACATGCAATTACCATTACATCAATAGAAATATGACACAAATTTGGCATCTTAGAAACACAGCTACAATGTAGAGCAGTATGGTGCTTTCTCAAGTAGGCCAGTCACTAGAACCACTGCGGTGATT